CACCTATCTCCAAATTACAAGGGTCTTGTTCTGAGATAAAACCTGCAATCAGTCAAATTGAACAAGCCAGGCAACTCTTCTGTCTTTAAGACTGCTCTCCATATCTCCGCCCTGATGCATTCTGTGTTAGTTCCACAAAACAACTCTGAGAAAGGAATCTTCTGTCTCTCCTTTCCAAGTTTTTGGGGAAGGCTGGCCTGTGATCCTAATGTCCTGATAGCAAAATTGAAATGAACAGAGAGAAACATAAACAACTGCTGTGTGAAAATGAAGAGATCAAACTGATTTTTAAAAATGTTTTCAGTGGAGGGGTGGGTGGTGGGAGGGGTGGGAAGAGATAAACCTAAGAACTTATATGCACAACCAGTGGACACAGACATTAGGTTGGGGAAAGCAGGAGGGGGGTGGGAGCAGGGGAGAGGGAATCAGTGGGGGGAAAATGGGAGACATCTGTAATACTTTCAACAATCAAATAAATAAATAAAGTGAATATCAATTTAAAAATTTCTTCAGAAATATGAGAGATGACAGAGATGAAGAAAGAACATGGTTCTCTTCCCAGCATTCTCAATACAGAGCCATTTCCACTACTGCTCTTCTAACATCTGTGACATTAGAAGAAGCCAAATAATCAAAGCTTCATTTCTACACAAGACTACAACAAAGTTCGGGGAGAAAGGGCTAGCCACGCTCCTGTGGAAGTAATATGTTCTTGGGAAATTAACCTATAAAACTATTTATGCAAGTGGTTGTTTACTGTAGAAAACTAGAAATAATCTAAATATTTACCAGTGGGGAACTGAATAAAGAATTCATGGTATGTTTGTAAAATTAAATTCTATACAGCCACTTAAATATAAAGGTAAATATGAATAAATAAAAGGACAGCTCCCAAATACACTTAAAAAGTACAGAACAGTATACAGAATATAATCTATTTAAATAAATATGCATAAAAATAATTTAAAACAATTTTCAAACTAATTCTATTTCTATATGTTTCTGTGGTGCTTGAAACTTTTTATAACAAACAACATATCACTTTTAGTTGAAAAAAGAGATATCTTTAGGGCTTTATAAAATTTTGGAATTCCGTTGTCAGAAACTGAAAACTTGTAGTGACAACCTCTGAGGTATGAGAGACCAATAGTTTATATAATAATTAGTACAAAGCATATTGAGACCTGCAGAAGATAAGGAATGTAGTGAGATGCTTGTATGAGGGTATATATGAACGGCAGAAACACAGCACTGGGAATTATAATAGATACAGACTTGTGTCAGTGTAGCAGGATATATATTTTGTGGCATAAAGTGGCTTGTTTATTATCAACATAAATCTGAATCTTCTTCAAAAGCTTTCCAAAGGAGTACAAAAAATTATAACCATGTTAATAAGGAGCTGAATTAATGTTCACTACAAATTAAAGGTAGAAATAAGACTTTGAGCCTGATCTGGCAAGAATTACTTTTAATAATGAAAATATTACCATAGTAATAAATGGGACATGGAGAAAATATTCTAAAAACCACCAATAAAATGAAAAATACCTATATCAATCACTCAGAGAAAATCACTATTAAAATATATATACTAATTCTTTTTCTTTTTCTACCTATATATGATCTATGAAAATGAAATATGTGTTTTTCTTACAGGATTTTTTTCCATTTTGCAACCACTCATGAACACTTTTTGGTCAATGTATGTTTTATCTATAAGCATGATTAGTAGAAGCTCCATTGTATTCTGTTGTAAATATATACCATCATTTACTTAACCAACCCTCAATCACTGGACATTTCTGTTGTCTACAATTTTTTTCATTATAAACAATACTTTAACAATAAACACTTTTATAACTAAACCTTAACACATGTCCTCAATTGTTTTCTTCTGGTAAATTGTCAGAGGTAGAATTGTTCAGGCTACAATTATGTCTCTAAGGCTTTAATACATGTTGCCAGATTGCCCTCTGGACAAGATGCTCCAGCAGTGTACTGATAAGATCCTTTGATGATAGTAAGTGTTAGCATTTTAAATTAAAAGTAATTATTTCAAAATGAAAAATAATCAAAAAACCTTGTATGATCATTCTTCTTTAAAATTATTTTGTTAAGTATCAACTTATTGGTTTGCTAAGTCATTCCACTACAAGTAATAGGGATGTACCAAATATCAAGAATTAAGCTAGATGATACTAGAGAGATACAGGTGAGGAAGGCTTGGCTCTTACCCTTGAAGATTTTATAGTTTACTGGGCAAATAGGGTATGTCATATAAATGATCCCAGAAGATGTTAGGGACACTAGAGGAAGAAACTCCTGACTCTCATCAGTGTGCTATAAGATAGCTATCACGCAGTGGCCAAGTAGCTCAGTTGTTTAGAGCGTCCACCCAATATGTCATGGTGGCAGGTTCGATCCCCAGTCAGGGCACACACAAGACTCAACCAATGAATACATCAGTAAGAGGAACAACAAACTGATGTTTCTCTTTCTCTCTCCCTCTCTCTCTCCCTCCCTCTCCCTCTCTCTCTCTCTCTCTCTCCCCCTCCCTCTCCCTCTCTCTCTCTCTCTCTCTCTCTCTCCCTCACATCAATCAGTAAAAACAATGTTAAAAAAGATAGCTATCACAAAGGAGGTCATATTTGAGCTGTATCTGAAGGACAGGCAGGAATTTTCTAGACAGAGTAGAGAAGGGAGGGCAACCCAGGCTGAAAACACAGCACATCCTGAAGCCTAGAATGCCAATAATTCTGTGGGGGTGGGGAACTGGTGCGAATGGGGTGATCCTGTAGAGTGACTATAGTGACCATACGACATTCTGGCAGTAAGTGTGCAAACCTAAGGAGGCCTCGACCTGGCACCAGGGATGAAAAACACCACCATTAGCACGTTATCCTTTGTTGATATTCTCTAACAGATCAAAGATGAGTCTAAAGGAGAACCAAAGTCTTCTGACTTCTAGGATATTAGATCATCTATTCATAGCATTATAGAGCTGGAAGGTCCCTTAAACTTCACCTGGTCCTAAACTCTCATTTTTCCAGGTGGGGACACCAAAGGTCACACAGATGATGATGACCCCTTTTACTGGAATGTACTTATAGATAACCTACCTCTAGGGTTAAACATGTTTCTATTTCCTGGAACATATGTAACATATTTTAGCCAGTGGAGTTAAAACAAATCTGCTTTCAAAACCCTAATCATTCCTCGTCCTAATCTTTTTTCTTCTTCTCAAACTAAACGCCAAAAAAACAACTCACTCCTTATTGCTTCCAACCCCCCACTAATCAGTGTTTCTAAGTGACTCAGTCTAACATGATTAATCAAGCTCCCTGCAACACCTCCCTTGTACCAACCATGTAACCACAAGTAACTTATACCAATAAGTTTCACTGAAGTGTCACTTCCAAGCTTTCCAAAGAGCAAATATCAACATACTGAAGGTTTTCTTCCTTGAACACATTTCTCTGCATCAATGACTTTCTGAAGGGAGGTGTCTATTCTCTTGGTTCTCTCTGATTGTGTAAATTAACATGAAAAGCCTACGCCATGTTCACCAACAAACTACGAGCCACTTTAATGCCATTTACCTGGAGGTCATGGTAGGTAATATATAACCATCACTACATGGCAGAGCAAGCTCTTGGCCAAGGCTTGAAAGCACTGTTAACAGAGCCTCAGCCTCCAGCCATTGAGTGTGAATGTGACTGGGACGGGCGTCATTCCACCACTCTGACCTACAATTCACCCTGCATATTGTCCCCAGCCAAAGTTGCGCTCCCAGGAGCAGAGCAAAAGGAGAGATGGAATATCCTTTCCTGCTTAACTTGTCTTAAATCTCCTCACCTTTCAACCCAAAGGCCACCTCCTTCAGGAAGTCTTCCTTGACAGACCTGCTCTGAATCATATCTCCCAGAACCTGCTAATCATTCTGTCCTCTACTTTTGACCACAGTGATTGGTCCCAGAGATAGTCCCATCTGAGCTGAGCCAATCAGAGTCTTCCACTGGACTTTATATGCTGATTCTACCTTCTTCTAGAACGTCCTTTTTTCAAGAAAGGCTACATAGGTTGATGAAAGCCTGCGGCCATGCTTTCTATTATATTTTTCCTTTCCTAACTCTTTCCACCCTCCCCCCCCCCCCACACACACACCCTCCAAAATTCACCTTATAAGGGAGATTGGTCTGCAAAGCAGAATGAAGCCAACACAAAGAAGAGTTGAGAGAGAGAGAGAACAGCCACCACGCATGGCACTCTGCCTTAGCACATTAGCTGAGTGGGTGGGAGCCAGAATCTAGCCTGCATTCTGCTCACCCTAGCAAGGTGCTACCCTCAATCAGAGGAAGTCCCCCACCTTTTGTTCAAACAAAGGATCTGCCTGCTCACTAAGCCTTTGTCTAATACACATAGTGCACAGAGTTACATATACTAGAGAGATGTGATAAGATCAGCAAAGCCGTTAGTTACTCCCAATCCTTCCTAGTTACAGCCACCAACACATCCCTTTTTCACCCACACTTGCTTAAGGTGGGTTTTTGTCACTTGTAACCAAAGAAGTCCTGACCAAGACAGCAGAAGGAACACCGAAATTTCTTTGGATGAAGCAACACATTTGTTTTAGCCAAAAATTTCCTATAAGTCATTGTCTTTGGAATCTCTGAGTCCTTATACTTCCCCAGTCAGGCACAGGATAACTAATAGCCTTCCTTTTTTTACTTAGAGACTTAGATAGCTTCCATGCAGATAATGCACCAAAGAAATCAAGTTCAACCTAATAATGCTGCTGTGGCTTTCTTCATGAAAATGATTAGATGTGATCTCTTTCCTAACATTGCTGGTAACTCCTCCTGTGTCAACTCCAGCAGCAGAGTAAGCTGTCCAGACACAGGCTATTTTTGCCTAATCTGAAAAGGGTCACCGCTAATTTCCCCTCACCAGTCCTGGTGTGTTTTGTTGTGTTTTGTTCATAGGGGTGGATCACTCACCCTCTCTGGTATCTGTCCAACTCGTGCAGAACCGTGTGGTTGCAGTACTCAAACACCAGGTGAAGCTTCCGCTTCCTCCGGAAGACTTCGATCAGGTTGACTAGGTTGGGATGCTTGAGTTGCTGAAAACATAGAAAACAAGGTGCTAAATATGAGTTGTGAAAGACAACTTTCTCTAGTTTTGATCCAATAAAAAGAAAGCTGTTGTCCTTTAGAAAGTTTTTCGTCTTGGTTGAAGTAGCCTGTAAACAGTATGGTCTTACTTCTCTTCATAAGGTATTTGTTAGCAGCTTGTAAGTAATAAGTGATTATATGTGAAGGCAAAGAGAGATATGAGAAGGCTGGACAAGACAGGAGAATGGGGGGTGGGTGGGTTAGTTAATACAAACTCATCCTTGAAGCTCAGATTTAATGTCCCTCCCTAGGGAGGTCTCCCCTGACCTCCCCAGACTGGTTCAATGCCCCTGAAGTATGTGTCCTTCAGAATCTTTCATATTTACTAAGTAACTACAAAGAAAGGATTGCTCAGTTGATTGTTCAATAGACATAATAGATATGTTCAACAGACAATAAGGACCATGATATCAGGGTCTATGTTGTCTTGTTTACTCAAAATGATGATGTTGAATCCCCAAAACGGGGCTAGCACATAATAGGCACTCGATAATTATTTGTGAAGGAATAAGTAAATCATGGTTCCTAAGTTGGTGAAACTGTTTAAGACAGAAGAACGAGGAAGACTCCTCAATCTGAGGTGCCTGAAGGTATGTATCTAGAACATGGACCAGGGCAGAGGCAAGACAGATGGCGAGGAAGGCAGTGTTCAGAGAGATTCTTGTTATTAGAATAGTCAGGATGTGGTGATGGACTAGAGGTGAGGGAGGAGGAAGAGGGAGGCATCGAGAATGACCAAAGGCAGTTCAATTTTTAACTTTTTGCGGTAACACCATAGTGTTTTCCTTAGTGGCTGCACCAGTCTGCATTCCCACCAGCAATGTACTAGAGTCCCCTTTTCTCTACACCCTCGCTAGCACTTGTTTGATGATTTGTTGATGGCAGCCATTCTGACAGGTGTGAGGTGATACCTCATAGTTGTTTTAAATTGCATCTCTCTGATGATTAATAATGTTGAGCATTTCTTCATATGTCTTTTGGCCATTTGTATGTCCTGTTTGACCCAGTGATCCCACTTCTACGAATATACCCTAAGGAGCCTGAAACACCAATCAGAAAGAATATATGTTCCCCTATGTTCATAGCAGCACTATTTACAATAGCTAAGGTCTAGAAACAACCCAAGTGTCCATCAGTAGATGAGTGGATAAAAAAGCTGTGGTACATGTACACAATGGAATACTATACAGCTGTAAGAAAGAAAGATCTCTTATTCTTTGAGGCGACATGGAGGGACTTGGAGAGTATTATGCTAAGCGAAACAAGCCAAGCAGAGAAAGACAAATATCATATGATCTCACTTACTTGTGGAATATAATGAACTAAACAAACTGACGAACAAAATTGACCTAGAGGCATAGAGGTGGGGTACAGACTGACAAACCTCAGAAGAGGGGGTGTTGCGGGGGGAGATAAACCACAGAACTTATATGCACGTATGCATAACCAATGGACATAGACAACAAAGCTGGGAATGGGGTGGGGGGGATGGGGAGAAGGGTGTCAATGGGGGAAAAAGAAGAAACATCTGTAACAAAAACAAATTAATAAAAAATAATTAAAAAAAAAAAAAAAAAAGAATTACCAAAGGTTTGTTCAATGGGGCAGATGGTGGGGCCAGCAGTGAAAGAAAGAACAGGTTTTTTGAGGAAGAAACTGTTTTTGGCATGTTGGGTTGGTGGGGACTCTGAGATACCAAAGTGGAATCATCAGGTCGGCTGGAGTTTGAGCTGAAGACAACAGCCGGGGGTCATCGCGAGTGTAAGTGAAGCCATGGACAGATGCAATTGTCCAGAAGAGCGAGTGAGAAGGGAAGAGGCCACGGGCATACGTGGAAGGGCAGTGTGCTCTGCAGTGATGGATGCTGCTGAAAGGTCAAGTGGGGGGAGGCCTGAGCGCGCCTGGAGGGTTACCCCAGGCTGGGGTCATGCGACCTCCCTGGAAGTAGTCAGTGCAGTGGTGAGACCAGGAGCCAGATCCTGCAGATTTAGTATCTCAAACCACATTACTCCTCTATCTGTGCTGATTCCAGGGGCAGAACTCAGAGACTCAAACTGGTCCTGAAACCAGTTTTGCAATCAGTAGCCTGGAGGTTTCAATCATAGCTCAACATTCACAATGTTGCATTTACGAGGGTTTGGATGTTTCTACATCAATACTGAACGTGCTTCTTTAGGAACATACAGAGGAATTAGATGAGAAGAACCAAGGAACATGATGGATGGATGTTCACAGATTTACTCAACATGTTTATTATACAATGAAGTCATCTTAGTAAAGCAGACTAAATTACCATATATACTACAAAGATGTAGTTCAGGGCTCATTTAGTTACAACCCCTTCATCTTTATGAGTATGTAAAGCCAAAGTCTCAGGCCCGGTCTCATTCCTCGGCATTCTGAGCTGGGCTGGCCCAATCTGGAGGATATCAGTGGTTCTTACCAGGCCAGTTACGTCATCCTTTAGTCAGGCTATATCTAGAAGCCTAAGCTGCTCAGATGCAGATGGAGTTTCTTGTGTATAAAGTTTCCGCCTTTGCTACTGCAATTTTACTTTGGTCTCCCTCTTATTTTCTCTCTGTATTTTAAATGCGGGATTAGAGTTAGAGACATCAGTATGAACTCATGTTTAGCTTAATATAGATACAGATGATCACATGTAGAAGTAACTGTAGATATGCTTGCATACATGGGTTGGTACACACACATATATTACCTTGCTCTGTCAGCTCAAAGGGCCTAGAAGCAACCATAAGCCAGTAGCAACAAGTACACCGAGAGCTCAGATCTTGGTTGCTAATACCTGTCTCCAACAAAGGGAACCAGAGCTCCTTGGAGAACATGATGATTCTAGGTAGGGCAGGAAAAATACAAGATAAGGCTGGAGCATTTTGTAGTGCCAAAAAGTAAGGAAATGCTAAAACAAAAACAAGAACTAACCCTACATTGATTAAGGTATGTCAAAGAGACACAAATATCCATGAGTCCATACTGATGTAAATGATTGACTGAATGAAATATAAATAGAAGAGAATAAATAAATCTTCTATGTGGAAGCATTCCAAATAATCCCAGGAGATATGCTGCCTTCATGGAGGAGAGCCTACCTTCCCCCTCCCTCCGTGTGGGCTGCACATAGTGACCTCCTTCCAAAGAGCACAGGATGGAGACACCGCACAGGATGGAGACACCGCACAAGAGCGACTTCCTAGTGGAGAACCTGACAAACACTGTCTCAGCCAGGGGAGGTGGTTTTCCTCCCCAAACCCATGACCCCAGGCTAACCATGAGAACAACACCAGACCAATTCCAATAGGGTGCATTCTACAAAACACCTGCCCAGTACTCCTCAAAACTGCCATCAAAAACACAGAAAATGTGAAACGGTCGGAGCCAGGGGAGCCCAGGCACACAAGATGAGTAAATAAAATCCGGCATCCTACATGGATCCTGGAACAGAAAAAGGACATTAGATTAAAACTAGAGAAATCTGAATAAATTATGGACTTTAGTTAATGATAATGTACCAATACAAGCTCATTAATTATAACAAATGTACTATACTAGTGTAAGATATTAATAATACGTGAAACCAGGTGCAGGGTATATGGGAACTCTCTATATGATCATCTCAAATTTCTGTAACTCTACAACTGTTCTAAAAAATAAAATCTATTGTAACATACACACACACCCTTTACCCAGCACACCACTTCTGGGAATATACCTTATATAAAGAAAAGCACCACTGCATAAAAATACATGTACAAGGATATTTATTGCAGTATTATTGGTTTAGGTAAAAAAAAAAAGTGGAAATAACACAAAACTCCTTTGATAGAAGAGAATGACTAAATAAATTGTAGTACATTTATTTATTTATTTATTTTTAAATCTGTTTTTATTAATTTTTTAGAGAGAGAAGGAGGAAGAGAGAGATGGAAGCATTGATGTGAGAGAGACACACTGATGGGCTGCCTCCTGCACGCCTCCTAGTGAGGATCAAGCCTGTAGCCTGGGCATGTGTCCTGACGGGGAATTGAACCAGGACCTCTTGGTCTATGGGACGACACTCAGTCCACTGAGCCACACCAGCTGGGAAAATTGTGGTATATTTAAATAATAAAATATTAAATACTATGCAGCAACTAAAAAGAATGAAATTAATAGAGGCCTCTCTGTTGATCTTATGACAATGATGTATGTAGAGTGAAGAAGGCAAGCTACTGAGTAATTATATAAAATAAATAAAAATAGAAAGTACATTAAGACACATGCAAAAATGATTCTATTTTCATATATTTATTTTTATACATTGTTATTTAAAACATATACTGAACCCTACTCTGTGTCAAACATTTTTCTAGCTCTGGGATTACAATATTTAGCAAAGCTGCCCAAAATCTCTGCTGTCGAGAGCTCATACAAGGATGGGCAAAAGTAGGTCTACAGTTGTGAGTACATGAAAGGCAGAGTTTGTTCTTGTATTATTATTTATTAATTATTGTATTGCCCTGGACAGTTTGGCTCAGCAGTAAGAGCATTGGCCTGTGGACCAGAGAGTCCCAGATTCAGTTCCCACTAGGGGCACGTACCTCAGTCTCAGTCTGTCCCTGTCCCCGGTTGGGGTCGTGTGGGTGGCAACCAGTCGATGTGTCTCTCTCACATCGATGTTTCTCTCTCTCTCTTCCCCCTTCTCTCCCTCCCACTCTATCTGAAGATAAATGCAAAAATGTCCTCGAGTAAGAATAAAAAAAAATAATATTATTATTAATTATTGTATTATTGTCCATAGGAACTATAAACCTACTTTTGCCCACCCCTGAATTTGAGCATGCTGGATGGTGATAAGTCTTATGGAAAGCAATAAAGTAGTTAGGGGGCATAGCATGATGAGGGGGTGCAATTTAAAACAGGGTGATCAGAGAAGACCTCACTGAAAAGGTGA